TTGTAGATAAGCTCCTCACTTAATGCCGTAGTAAATATTTTCATGATTGCTAACAAGATCGAGGAGTGGATTGAGGCATAATGCAGCTTAAAACAAATGCCGCCGTGGAGAATGCCCCCTGCTCAATCAAATGTCCATGGATATGAGGACTTTTTCTATGAAACTTTATCTGCAAGTTAAGGAGAGAAACTAACCCCGAATCCATAAAAAATTGGCTTAAACAATAGGAAAAAATAATGGTAAAGCCCTCGAGGGCAAAATCACTGATATTTCCCCACAAATATACGCCTGGGGAAATTCCAATAGTGAACTTTTGATATTACTTGAAATTATTACCTTTTTTATAGGTATGTTCTTTGTCCATTAGAGTCATTTTCATATGTTTAAAAACAAAACACACACACCTACACAAAAGGCCGCAACACATCCATTTGCCAAAGAAAACACGATTCTTGCTTCTGTATAAAGGCATTAGAAGGTGATGGCAATTTGAGATTGTCAATTACCCCTTGGTTTTCTCCACCCTCTTCAAGTTCTACCCATATTCGAAACTTTTCTTTTTCATATGTTTTATGCCAATTCTAAGTTTTATTTCCATCAAATTTACAGTTTTACTAGATATGGCTTTGTTATACTTTATTCTTCTTTAGGCATCCTATGATTTAAACTTTTAGTGGAATTTCCATTTAATGGGGTAGTTCTGTGTGTGTATAAACACATACATAGAGCACATGCAATTACAACAATGGAATTGCCCTCCATATTTAATTATATGAGAGGAAAGGACCAGATGATAGAATTGAAGGTACTACTAATTGAAACGGTCAAAATCTAGAAATACGTACAAACCATACTGCAAATTCATGTATCTTTGGTTAATAAGATCATCCCAAGGTGAAATATCACAAGTAACGCCTCGTCCTGGACTATCTCAAGGGGAACCATAACCAAAATGTTTCACAAATTGGATCAGTGATTGATTTTTCAATCTCAAAAGGGCATAAATTGGTTTACACCAGGCTTCATTTTTTTCCCTTAATTTTTTTCCCGAATTCAATGGAATAACATGAAATTCTATGAGAATTCTTCTAAATTTTTCCAAAAATTCAAATCTAGTTTTGAATTGCAAGTGAAATTTGGTTGAATCTTTGAACTAGAAGGTATCGTTAAACAATTATAGTTTGGGTGGGGCTTTCGTAAGTTTGGAACTTGAAACAATCAAAGTAAAGCACACTTCCAGAATTTGTTATAAGATGAAATTTTGGTGTTGAAAATTCTTATAATGGCTTGAAAATCTATTTTTATCTCTGATTATAAAATTCCAAACTCCAAAAATGGTTCAAATCAAGCATAGGCATAAACACATGAAAATCTTGAAAATGGATAGTCCGGATAATTTATTGCACGGTGTACTATTTTTAGGAGTTAAAATCTCATCTTTTTGTTTTTTTTTTTCTATATTTGTACATCTTGATTTTGAGATGATCAATTAGATGGTTTTCCAACATCAAAATGAGCATTTGATGGATTTTTGACCCTACAATATAACATGTCAACCTTACATAAACTTTTTCCTTATAGATTACCATTGAAGCTAACCATTAGGACAGTGTGAAAACATTGATGAAGCATGAAGAAACTGAAAGCCAAGCCTCATTCAATAAGAAAGTAGCCTTGCTGTGCAGGGAGTTTTGGTTTCGGCAATCGGTTATAGTCTACAAACTTGGTGCATCTCCAAGAAAGGACCGGTGTTCGTCGCCTTGTTCTTTCCCCTCCAGCTTATAATTGCTGCCATCCTTAGCGCGCTTATCTTAAGGGAGCGACTCCACTTGGGCAGGTTTGTATTGTGGCCTCCTTTCTAAACTATCTAGCGATACTTTGAACAAACTTTCCAAAATATTAAATAATATTCTTTTTGTTTGTGATTATTAGAAATTGGTGCATTTATTAACAATTATAAAAGCATGCACCAAATTTGGCAGGGCAAAAACCACAAATTATCATCATATCCTAAATGTTAGCTCGGGGTGGCAATCGGGTCAAGTTGACCTAATCCAAGTCTAGATTTGTGTTCCAAGTTTTAGATCCAGTGAAGCGACTGCAAAACCTAGACTCGAGTCAGATCCTGATCGGGTCAACTTGGACCCAGACCCAACCCAAGCATAGGCTCTAGACCCATCTAGACCTGGATCTGGACCTGACCCAAAATCCACTCTGGTCTAGAGTTTTGGAACTAGACCTAGGCCGACCCATTGCCGCCCCTAATGTTAGCACTAGCATTTTATGGATATTTCATCATGAAAATTTCTATTGCGCTTCACCCACAAATAAAATATATGTGACTATACAAGTCTGAGATCTATATAAACGTTGGAGATAGCTTTAATCATAATGTCACAAGTTAGCCTTTGAGTAGATGGTTTGGACTATTTGAATTTTAATATTTTTTTTAGGTGCAATTTGGTCATTTATTAATATTAAAAAATTATTTTTATTAAGTGAACCCCAATGAGAATTGTGCATTGCAACTTTTTCTCAAAATGATTCCTAGAAAGAAAATTTGAAAAAAAACCGTGTTCAGCATAACTTAGGACGTAAGCTATCCCATCTGTTTATTCAAATTCGACTCATAATGGGAGTCAAAGATGTTTTATACGAGAGTGGCTCTACATAGAGAGATTTCCCTCTCGTCATTAAACAGGGTTAATGGAAAAATTGTCTGATTTACTCATAATCATATGATGTCTGAACTGGTTATGAAAAAAAACTAGAACAGAAAATCAGTTGTGTTATTTTATTTTTGACAATGTTTCCTCTTTTCATTTCCTCATGGGTTGCAGTGTTATTGGGGCATGTCTCATAATTTTAGGCTTTTATTGTGTTACATGGGGTAAGAGCAAGGATCACAAAGATCAAGAGTTAGATGAGAGAAATCAGACACGCGATGAAGAAAAGGACCTCAATAAGAATGTTGGAGTGAGCCCCTGAATGGTTTATTGCTCTTCTTTTATTACTGCAAAGAGAGAAAGTGGAGATTTTTAGGCATACACTTGAGTGTTTTGGGACCCTGTTACAGATCCTATTTTAGAGAGAGAAAGTACACTTTTGAAGTGTGTTTGTATCGTATTTTAGGCCCTGTTTAGAGATAGTTAAAGCTGTTGAAAATTGGAGCTTTGAGACTCAATATCTCTTTTAATCTTCGCAAATAAGTAAGTAAAGTCTCACACCATTCTCCTGTGGATGTAGATCATGATTTGTGATCAAACCACGTTAAATTATTGTGCTTTGTGAATACTTGTAGCTGGATTTTTATTCCATTTTCATGCTTAAATATTATATAGTTTTCATTGCTTGTTTATATTGATATGAATACACAATTGTTGTGAAGAAAAGATTTGTGCTATTGTGGTTATTTGCTGTAATTTTCCTTAAAATGGAAAGGGCAATGGAATTTGACAAACTAAATCAAAGAAATTGGCTAATATAGAAAATGATGATGGAAGATTATCTTGTTGGAAAAGAGTTGGATCGGCCACTACAAGGGAATGAGGTTATGCCTATTGGAATAGAAGATTGGGAATAATATATTCTTGATCGAAAATGTTTAACAGCTATTAGACCATGTATTTCACCATCAATTTTATTAAATATTTGTCAATATAAAATATCTGTAAAGTTTTGACAATCTTTGGAGCAATCTTTTATGCAACCCTCTGGTGCAAATAAAATGCATGCAATGGGAAAACTATGTCTTTTGAAAATAAAATAAAATTACTATAATTAAATCGCATGTGAGTGAATTTAATTCTATTTCTGCACAATTGAAGTCTATGAAAGCGAATTTGGATGAAAAAGTGTTATGTTTGCTTTTGCTAAGTTCTTTGCCTACTAGTTGGGATACCTTGGTTACCCCTATAACTAATACAATGAATAACAAGTTTAATTTGAAAGATGTTGTTTCCTCATTGTTAAAAGAAGAAACTAAAAAGGCATCCACACAAATGCTTATTGAATCAAATCAAGCATAGAGAACAACCTTATGGATTTAATAGAGATAAATCTCATGGCAAAGGTAGGTCCAAATCACAGAGAAAGAAGTTTACTTGCTAGTATTGCAAGAAATCTGACCAAGGAAGATTATTATGCTCTGAAGAATAAGCAAATGACCAAGAATAATGATGGTCATGCCGAAGCAATTTCTGTTTTAAATGGTGAAGATGGGGTCACTTTTAGCATTGCTTGAACAAAAATGTTCAATGAAGATAATTGGGTCTTGGACTTTGGTGCTTCATTTCATATTTTCTTAAAAAGATCATACATTCCATCATATATAGATCTGGATGGTGGATGTGTCTATCTTGGTAATGATAGAACTTGTAAAATTTTGAGCATTGAAAATATTCACATAAAAATATATGATGGTATGGTTCATACATTTGAAAATCTTAAAGAAGAGCTTGATTTCACTTCCTAATATCGATATAGAAGGCTACAAATTTATCGGGCAAGGTGGAGTGCTTAAAGGTTCAAAGGGGGACTCTGATGATGATGAAGGGAGTTCCCGAAGGAAACTTGTATAAATTGTTAGGAAGCACAATTATAAACAAAATGGGAAATTTGGTTGTAGAAGAAAAAGAAGATCGACAATAGGTACATAGTTTGCAATGGAAGAACTTGATGGTACAAAACAAGTTCTTGACAAGGATAATCGAAACAGCATGACTTAGAGCTCTTACAAAAAGATGTGCAGCCAAAAGCTTCCCATGATTCCCTTCGAACCAATATTCAGAATTTGGTGAAGGAATGGCCAATGTGATTAGAGTGCTGCATCTCACTCTAATGTTAATTTTGATAATTGCCATGACTTGTATAAGTATATCATTTCATTTCTTTGTGTTTTTCTCGATTGTCTTGTATTTAGCCTAGGAAGAAAAAGTTAGAATGAAGTGCATGGATACTCCAGAATTTAAGAAGTATGGGCATGGAATCCAAGATTTTCAAGGCGTCATAGGAGAGATTGATGCAAAGGATCTCTATGGTATGAGATCAACCATCAGTCGGGCTTATAAGTGCATAAAAAATGGTTCATCTAAAGCATGTGTGAATGTAAGATGGCTCCAGGAGCTCGAGGACACAAGTGTTGTAGAAGATGGAGTTTGTATGAGAAGTACATGCATGAAGCAGGATAAGCAACACATGCACATGGAGTTTATTAAGCTAGAGAGCTTGCAGCATTGTATAAGCTCTCTAGATTCCACAAAAAAAGCATAACCTTGAGAGGATAGAGAATTGTGCATTAGTGATCATTTTAGAGACTTGAAGATTTGTGTTCAAGTGGGAGACTATTATTTGTGTGTTTGTTGATTTGTCTTCAAGTTGGAGATTGTTACATATGAAAAGTCAAATCAAACATGTAGGCTTCATTTTATATTTTCTTGTTTGACTTTTGTCTCTTTTATTTTGGGTCATTGGATGCACCTAATCCAATGGTTGTGAGTTGTAGAAACTTTTCTCTTCAAAGGGGTTTGTTTCACTTTTGTTTTAAAGAGAGAGAGAGTGAGAGACAGAAGAAAAGGAGAGCATACATCCAGTGGGTACTGCTGGCCTTGGTTTTCCCATTTTGTAAAGAGATAACATGGAGATTTTTTGCATGCACTTGGGTGTTTTGAGACCATGTTACAGGACCTGTTTTAGAGAGAGAAAGTACATGTTTGTAGTATATTTGCACCCTGTTTTGGGCCATATTTAGAGAGAGTTAAAGCTGCTGGAAATTTGAGCTTTGAGACTTGATATCTCGTGTAATCTTCACAAATAAGTAAGTAAAGCCTCTCACTATTCTCCTGTGGATGTAGGTCACGATTTGTGATCGAACCACATTAAATTTTAATGCTCTGTGAATGCATGTTGCTGGAATTTTATTCCATGTTTTTACTTAGTTTCGATTGCTTGTTTATATTGATATGAATGCACAATAATTGTGAATATTATAAATCCTTACTGATTTTTTATCAATCGATCACAGCATTTCGAGCTCAAATCCCCTATCGAAATTCTTAAAAATAATCACATTACTCCACATGTTGAGAGAGAGAGAGAGAGAGAGAAACACATATCATTTTGAAACTCAGCCGAGGTAACTCGGACTCTGCCGAGTAACTATAGGGCGATGCAGTTTTGGCTAAATTGGTTGTACACCATTTTTTTTAAGTTCAATTACTTTAAAGGGAAAGTTTTCTATGTTCCCCTTACAACACAAAAGTTCTATCCTCCCCCTTATGAAACCGTCCATTTTTTAATGGAGGGCCAAGATTGCCCCAATCACAATGTCACGTCTCTACACTGTTTTATTTTTAATTTTTTTCTATAAACTATTTTGACACCAAATTTTGAACGTCCATTTCTCTATTAAACTTGCACTAACGAAAAATATATATAAAAAATATATTTTTAATAGAATAAAATGATTAAAATACCCCTGAAAGTTTCAAGGGGTATTTTGGTCATTATATTTTATTGAAAAATTATTGTTAATATTTTTATAGGTGCGCCCCAATGAGAAGATGGCATGTACCAATTTTCATATTCAGAAAAACTGAACTAAAAAAGATTTAAAATAAAGACATCGGATCTAAGATCAAACGGCCAGTGGCTCTCTTGATAAAAAATGGACGGCTGCCTGGATGGTAGGGGGACGATAGAACTTATATGTTGTAGGGGGAACATAGAAAGCTTTCCCTACATTAAAACCACCAACCTAATTTAGATGTGTAAAAATGTCTTTTTGGTTGTTACAACCTTTTTAAAGGGTACTTTTAAAAAGTCTTCCACAGGAGTGGATCCCACAACCTCTTGTTAAGAGATAAATTTATAATGGAAACCAGTGGTTGAAGAAACGGATCGGTGCCGCGGATTAGGCACCTCAAGATTGGTGAATCAACGATCTGGATCGGGAATCCTCCGATCTGTCCGATTAAGCCTTAAAAAAAAGTCCAAAAAAGTTATGAAAATTCATTATAAATGCTATTTTGTAATAATTTCCAATAAGAAATATGGGTATTACATTATTAACTTTCATTTTTAACCAATTTACGAAAAATTAATATGTTCTTTTCCTGTATGAACTTACGATAACCATTAAATTTGTATCACATAAAACAAAAAACATAGAATTACCATGAATAAAGTACATAATCCTACATAGACTACAATAAATAATGGATTAAATCAATGAAAAATGGACACTAAAATCTCGAATTAAGGAAAAACCCTAATCCACAAAAAAAAAAAAAAACCAAATTATTATAACCTAACTAACTATAATCCAAAATTATTATAGCCTATCTAACTATAATATTATTTATTGCAACGAAAATTGTTGGTTTATATTTTATTATATAAATAATAAAAAACTTAAAATATTTTATAATATCATTTAATTTAAAATGTATTATTGACAACTGTAAAAAAAATAATACATTAAAAGATTTATAATACAAATAAATAAATAAATAAAATAAAATATTTGATTATCAATATAGAAATTATTCGAATGCGCATCAATTTTCTAAATAACACTTCAAACTTTCAAAAATATAATTTTTTAGAATTCTAAAATAAATTTAATTGAAGAGATTGTTAGAGACAGAGAGATATTTCAAATGTGTATGAATCATATCTTAAAATTAATATTCCTAAATTTATGTTAAAGCTTACCATATTATAAAAATAAAAATTATAATTAGATCAGTTATTCCTAGTTTTTATTAAAAAATATTTGTTGCATTAAGAAATATCTTTTATTTTTTTGACAATAAATACTTGTATTTTTTTTTACGAGAAAATATGATATTTGTTGTATTACTTTTTTTGTTTTAGAAAATTATGTATATATCCATTATATTTTGCGTTATTATAGTTCCATCTTTCAGTTTTCACTTTCATAACGAGATTTGTTTGAACATATGATTTTCCCCAATTTCAGGTATTGAACAACCAAAATAAAAAAATTTCGGTTTTTCAACAACCAAAAACGGGAATAGGTCTTTTGACCCTGCTCTGGTTACGGTTGTTCAATAACTGAAATTAGGGTTTTCGTGTGTTGAAAAATCGAAAATCTAATTTCGGTTTTTCAACACCCGAAAACCTAATTTCAGTTGTCCAAAATCCGAAACCGTGGAGTGCGTTGTTTTCACAACCGAAATTATATTTTCGGTTAATCAAAAACCGAAAACATGATTTTTGTTTTTGAACAACCGAAAATTTATGGACTTCGGCTTTTGATTAACCGAAAATGTTCGCTTCTATACTTCGCACGCTTTTACTGTAAGAAAA